TCAGGGCGCCCCAGCCCAGCGGCAGCGACAGCCGCCGCTGCAGCACTTGCTGCTGCCGCAGCCGCAGCAGGTCTTCGGGCAGTGCAGCAGCAGCAGCAGCAGCAGACTCCAGCAGCACCCGGACGGTGCAGGGGGCCGAACTGTTCAGCAGTCGCTCGGCCAAGTCCTTCGAGCTGCCGCTCCTGCTGCTGCGCTGCTGCTGCTCGCCTTCGTGCTGCTGCTGCTGCGAGTACTGAATGCTCATATCGCTGCTGCTGCTGCCCCTGCTGCTGCTGCTGCTGCTGCCTTGCGGCGCTCCAGCAGCAGCAGCAGGTAAACCGCAATACGATGAGGCAACAACAACACGCGCCAGCACCTCCCCCGCTGCCAACTCCCCGTCCTCCCCGCTGCTGCTGCTGCTGCTTCTGCTGCAGCTGCTGCAGCAGCAGCCGCTGCTGCTCCTGCTGCACGTAAGAGCGCCGCGCCGCTGCAATGCGCGCAGCAGCATGCGGTTTGCTGCCACGTCGGGCCTCCGCAGCAGCAGCAGCTGCTGCTGCGGCAGCCCCCGCTGCAGCAAATGCTCGCAGGGCCCCAGCTGTCTGTACACCTGACACAGCCACAGCCGCAGCGGCAGCGCCAGCTGCTGCAGCAGCCCGTTGTCGAGGCCTGCTTTGCTGCTGAGCCTCAGGACCTGCCACGGCGCACTGCCTGGCTGCTGCTGTCCGTGCTGCTGCTGCTGCTGCTGCTGCTGCTGCTTCTGCTCAGAAGCACAGCAGCGCTCCGGCCATTGCGGGTCTACTGCAGCAGGAAAAAGCTGCTGCACTTCCGCCCCAGACGCCGCCGCTACTGCAGCAGCAGCAAATCGCGTTAGCGGCAGCAGCAGAGAAGGATAAACAATGGCGCGACGGCGCTGCTGCTGCTGCTGCTGCTGCTGCTGCTGCTGCTGCTGTGGATGCCGTTGCTGCGGCGTATCGATGACCATCAAATTCTGCGTTGAGAGCTCGAGTGTGGAGCCGCTAGTGCTGGTGGTGCTGCAGCAGCAGCTGCTGCTGCAGCAGCTGCAGCTGCTGCTGCTGCTGCTGTCTTTGCTGCTGGAGCAACCAGGAACCGCCAGCGGCAGCTGCTGCAGACCAAGGGACTCTGTTAGCACCTTCTGCTTCCTGGACAGCCGCTGCAGCGCTGCAGCAGCAAGGGACGTCTGCTGCTGCTGCTGCTGCTGCTGCTGCGGAAGACTCCTCCCTGCTGCTAGTTCCTGCAGCAGCCCAATGGCAGACGGCACTTCCTGCAGCTGCCGCAGCCACAGCAGCAGGGGCGGCTCGCAGCTGCTGCAGCTGCACTGTGCAGCAGCAGCAGCAGCCGCAGCAGCCTCAGTAACGCTAAGCTGCACATCTCCCCGTGCAGCAGCAGCAGCAGCAGCTGCATAGCGGCGCTTGCAGCGTTCACTGCAGCAGCCCTGCCACTTGCTGTAGCTGGTGTCGCTGCTGCTGCTGCTGCTGCTGCTGCTGCTGCTGCTGCTGACTTGCTGCTCCAGCGGAGAGGGAAAGCAGCACTGATAGTAGCTTGCAAACAGAGGCAGCTGCAGCAGCCGGGCCAAAGTGTGCAGCAGCAGCACGAGCTTCTGCACCTCCAGGTGTACAGACACCTGCCGCAGCAGCAAATCCTCCAGCAGCAAATGCAGCACGAGAAATATGCAGGGTAGCTGCTGCTTCAGCCCCAGCTGCAGCAGCTCGCCGTCACTGCAGCTGCAGCTGCCATCAGCAGCAGAAGCAGCAGCAGCAGCTGCTGCTGCTGCTGGCAACGGCGCAGCACAAGGCGGCACCCCTGAAGCACCACAGTCGTCCATGCATGCTCCGAGCTGCTGCTGCTGCTGCTGCTGCTGCTGCTGCTGCTGCTGCTCAAGCACTTCTTGTGCGCTGCAAATAATTGCAGCAAGAGGGCCCAGGCCCTCAGCTTCGAGGGAGCTTAGTGCTGCAGCAGTTGCTGCTGCTGCTGCTGAGCTGCCGCTGCTGCACCTGCTTGAGCCTTCTCTGCTGCAGCGCCTGTCGCCTTGCTGCTGCAGCGGCCCGCGGCGCCGCTTCAGTCGAGAAGCGACAGCAGCAGCAGCTGCTGCTGCTGCTGCTCGGCTTGGTGTTGCTGCAGCACACTGCTGCTGCTGTTCCGGAGGCAAGTTTTCTCCCTGCGGCGGCACTGCCGCTTGCAGCTGCAGCAGGCGAGCGCCTGCTGCTGCAACGGCAACGTGCTCACTGCTGCAGCTGCTGCTGCTGCTGCTGTTGCTGCTGCTGCTGCTGCTGGTCCTGCAGATGGAAAAGAACTCATAACACAAAAGCTGGCAAAAAGCACTCCACTCAAGAGCGGCGACACTGGGGAACTCTCCTGTGTCCGCTGGAGCAAAGGCTTCTTGCTGCTGCTGCTGCTGCTGCTGCTGCTGCTGCTGCTGCTGCTGCAGCGAGAGGGAGGCCGGCGACTGACAGCAGCGGAAGACTGCAGGCAGCAAAACTCTTGCTGCTGCTGGCTGCAGCAGCGCCGCAAGCGCGCGGACGCAGGCCCGCAGCAGCCAGCTGCTCTGCAGCAGCCTGACGCTGCAGCGGAAGCTCTTGAGACGGCTCAGCTGCTGCTGTTCCTGCTGCTGCTGCTGCAGTTGCTGCTGCTGCTGCTGCAGTTGCTGCTGCTGCTGCTGCTGCTGCTGTTGCTGCTTGAGCAGCAAGGTAACTCGAAAGGTATTCGCCGACAGAGCTGAGACAGCTACGGGAGCAGCAGCCTGCAGCAAAGCAGCCTCGGGGTGCAGCAGCAGCAGCTGCTGCAGCAGCAAATCCCCACAGTACAGCCGCAGGGCCCCGTCTAAATGAAGGGCCACCCAGTGCTGCGGCAGCTCGTGCTGCAGCAGCGGGAAGCAGCAGCAGCTCCCGCAGCTCCCTCGGCCCCGGCTCCCCGCCTGCTGCTGCTGCTGCTGCTGCTGCTGCTGCTGCAGCACGGGGAGACGCACAGAAAGAAAGGAAGCCCCATCTACTCTGCCGCTGCGGGCTGTGGCGTCAGAGACTGGCAGCGAGGCTGCTGCTGCTGCAGTTTCTGCTGCTTCCTTGAGGCAGCAGAAGGCGATAACGTTTGGAAACGCGACTGCGTCCCTGCTGCTGCTGCTGCTGCTGCTGCTGCTGCAGCAGGTGCTGCAGGCTGGGACCGGCAGCAGCAGCAGCAGCAGACGCTCCTCCAGGTGCACCAGCACACGCAGCCGCTCTTCAACAGCAAAAGGGCTTCCCCACGGCAGCAGCAAAAGCGCTGGCGGCGAAGCAGGCCTGCAGCCTTGCTGCTGCAGTGCCACGGGAACTGCAGCAGCAGCAGCACCTCGTGCTGCTGCTGCTGTTGCTGCAGCAGACGCAGTCTCTGCAGCTGGCCCTTCTGCAGACCCGCACGCGAAGGAAGCAAGCTGCTGCAGCTCGTACAGCGGCGCAGGCTCCGGGTCCTGCTGCTGCTGCTGCTGCTGCTGCTGCTGCTGCTGCTTCCCCAGCTCTTCCTCTTCGTCGAGAGGCACCAGCAGCAGCAGCAGCAGACGCTGCGTCTCCGCAGCAAGTGCAACAGCAAGAGGAAGCTCAGATATCATCCCCAAAACTACAATGCCACTCCTGCTGCTGCTGCTGCTGCTGCTGCTGCTGCTGCTGTCCCTGTCATGAGTGAAGGTCACAAAAGAGGAAGCCTTCGCGGCTCCATAGCAGCAGCAGCACAAGTTGCTGCTGCTGCTGCTGCTGCTGCTGCTGCTGCCGTATACGCAGCTGCTGCAGCAGCGAAACAGCACAGGCCTAGCGCTGCCGCCTCCCCGAGCAGTGACCGAGAACAGCAGCGGCGTGCTATCTGCGCGCACTACTTGCTGCTGCTGCTGCTGCTGCTGCTGCTGCTGCTGCTCTTGCTGATTGAGCATTTGCTGCTGCTGCTGCTGCTGCCACTGCTGCTGCGCGGGGTTTGAGTGCGGGGGCACAAACGAGACCCCTCGTGCTGCAGCAGTGACCCATATCTGAGAAGCTGCAGCAGGGATGCCTACAGTTAGCTGCTCCGCTGCAGCAGCAGCAGCTGTTGCTGCTGCGCTGCTGCTGCTGCTGCTGCTGAGGCTGAAGCTCTCAACCACACAGTCGCGAGCAGCAGCAGGAGCGAGAACAGCAGCAAGAGGAGAGTAAGCTGTGGGGACTGTCTTAATAACCACTCCGCCGGCTACCACTGCAGCACGTTTGAGGTGTACGTACAGCTGAATGCTTGCTGCAGCTTCGCGGCCACAGGCATACAGCTGCTGCTGCTGCAGCAGCAACGGGCCAGCTTGTGTCTGCTGCTGCAGCAAGCAGCGCCGCTGTGCAGCAAAGAGTGCAGCGTCCGCTGCTGCTGCTTCTGCTGCTGCGGCTTCTGCTGCTGCGGCTGCCGCAGATGGCATATGTCGCCCACAACTTGCAGCAGCAGCAGCAGCAGTTGCTGCTGCTGCTGCTGCTGCTGCTGCTGCGTGGACACGGCGTGCTGCTACTGCCCTTAGCGTCTGCTTCACACATGCAACGTCGCATAGCGCAACATCTGGCAAGCAGCTAGCTGCTGCTGCCGCTTCTGCTGCTGCTGCTGCTTCTGCTGCTGGGAGTGCTCCTGCTGCTGCTGCTGCTGCTGCTGCTGCTGTAGCTGCTGTGGCACGAGCCTCCCCCGCTGTATCTGCTGCACATCCTGGCTGAATAACATCTGGGGGCAGACGAAACGAATCTGCTGCTGCTGCTGCTGCTGCTGCTGCTGTCGGCTCTGCTGCTTCGGATTCTGTACGCAGGTTTGCTGCTGCTGCACAGCAGCGAGCCGACAACAGGTGGGGCCCTGCGCTGCCTCTGCAGCTCGTCCTGCTGCAGCAGGAGCATTTGCTGCTGCTGCTGGTACATGCTCTGCTGCTGCTGCTGCTGCTGCTGCAGTTACCCTGCAGGGATCCGTCTTCGCCGCCCAGTATAAGGGGGGTCAAGACTGTGTCTTCCAGGGGACAGGGGAAGTAGCCTGTGTCTGCTGCTGCTCTTTGAGCTGCTGTTGCTGCTGCTGCTGCTGCTGCTGCAGTGCCTGGCAGCTCCGCTGCACTTGCGCCCCCCTCGCGCCGCTGCAGCAGCAGCATATTGGGGCGTTACGGTAGCAGCAGCACCTCCTGCTACGGACTCTGCATTGTGGCGAGGACAGCAGATTTGCTGCTGCAGCCGAAGGTGCTGCTGCTGCTGCTTCGTCTGCTGCAGCTGCTGCTGCTGCTGCTGCTGCTGCTGCGATTGGCGGGCGATCCGAGGGCTGCTGCAGCAACCGACGAGGGAAGGGAAAACACAGTCATCCAGAAGCAGCAAAAAAATAAAGAAAAAAGCAATTAAAGGGACACTTCACATTAGTTGGAGCAGCAGCAGCAGCAGCAGCAGCAAGAGGGGGCCCCACCACAGACACTGCACAAGGACAACCACCCCCCGCGGAGGCAGCAGCAGCAGCAGCAGCAGCAGCAGCAGCAGCAAGACCAGCAGTGCTGAGGATCTCAGCAATTTGTTCCATTAATTCTTTTGTTCCTCCTGTATGACTGTTTCAAGCATTTACTGGCATGGCTGCTGCTGCTGCTGCTGCTGCTCTCCTGGTTCCCCGCTGAAGAATCGCTGCTGCTGTTGCAGCTAGCGCAGCTGCCGCTGTGTTTGCTGCTCTTTCTGCTGCTGCAGCTGCTACTGCTGCTGCTGGAGCTGCTGCCGTAACTGCTGCTGCTGCTGCTGCTGTCATTGCTGCTGCTGCTGCTGTTGCTCCTGCGGTACTGCCGCTGCCGCTGCCGTTGCTGCTGTGTGCCAGGTCGCTCCCCGCTCCCCCCGTATGAGAACTGGCAGCAGCAGCAGCAGCAGCAGCAGCAGCAGTGAGGGGCCCCCTGTGTTGCTGCAGCGGCTAGCATAAGCCATAGCTAGCTGAGCTAGCCAGGCCCTGGGCCCTGGCTAGCTGGGCCGGTCTGTGGGGCTCCGCCCGCTGCCTCAACTCGAGCTTATTGGCTGCTTGCATGCAGCAGCATGCGTAGCCAGAACCAGCAGCAGCAGCAGCAGCAGCAGCAGCTGCTGCTGCTGCTGCTGCTGTGCTGTGCCGCTGGCTAGCCAAGATTCTCGTCTCAGTTATACTTCGTTTCGTCTTGAGGGGCCCCACTTGCTGCTGGGGGCCCCTCGAGTCTGTGCTGCTGCTGGGGGGCCCCCAGGGGCCCCTGCTGCGGGGCCTCAGGCTTGGGGGCCCCTGATTTGGCGGTGGCTAGCTGCAGCAGAAGCTGCAGCTAGCTATAGATGCAAAGGAGTCGCGAGAGCTAGCTGCTGCTGCTGCTGCTGCTGCAGCGCAGCAGTCAGTCCTGCTGCTGCTGCTGCAGGAGCTGCTGCTCGCTTTGCACGAACGGCTTTCTGTGTAGCTGAGTGGCCGTAGCTAACTAGGGCAGCTAGCTAGCTAACTGGCCAGCTAGCTAGCTGGCTAGCTAGCTGGATAGCTAGCTAGCTAGCTGGATAGCTAGCTAGATAGCTGGCTAGCTAGCTAGCTAGCTGGCTAGCTAGCTAGCCAGCAGCTGTGCGCACAAACAGCGGGAAGGCCGCGCGAAGAGCCACTGCTGCAGCAGCTGGCTGCAGCAGGTTTGCTGCAGCTAGCAGCAGCTAGTTTGAGGGCTTCTCAAATAAGCCTAAATATTTATTTATTTATTTATTTACTATTTTTACATTAAAGGCTATTTATTTATTATTTATTATTTATTATTTATTTATCTGTGGCTAGCTGTGGCTAGCTGTGGCTAGCTGTGGCTAGCTGTGGCTAGCTATGGCTAGCTGCGGCGAGCTCGTTGCTAGCGCTGCTGCGCACCCGCTTCACGTTTGCTGTTGCTGCTTTCGCTGCTATCAGCCTTGCTGCTGCTGCTGCTGCTGCTGCTGCTGCTGCTGCTGCTGCTGCTGCTGCTGCTGCTGCTGCTGCGCTGTGTGGTGCGGCGCCGGGACAGGCTCGGAGTCTGTACAATGATTTGCTGCTGGCTAAGTTTTGCTGCTGAAGCTAAAAGGGCTCTTTATTTATCCTTTTCTTTAATTTAATTTTAATTTATTTTTAATTTATTTTTAATTTACTTTTAATTTATTTTATTTCTCTTTCTTTGTGTCTTTGCTTTTCTCCTTTTGCTGCTGCTTCTTCCTTTTTGTGTCTGCTGTGTCTGTTGCTGCTGCGGCTCCCCGCAGCTGCTGCTGCTCTGCTGCAGCTGCTGTTGCTGCAGCTCTTTGCTGCGGCCGCGCTCGCTGCTGCGGCGCCCCAAAGCCCAAGCCCTAGCCCCAAACCCTAAACCCTAAACCCTAAACCCTAAACCCTAATTGGCTGCTCCCCCCGAGACAGCAAAGACCGCAAAACCCCCAAAACGCTCGCCAGCACTCGACTAATGTCGCAGCTGGTGGGCGTTTCCAGCGCAGCAGACCCTTGCTCCCCCCCTCCCTGCTGCTGCTGCTGCTGCTGCTGCTGCTGCTGCTGCTGCTGCTGCTGCTGCTGCTGGAGGCGAAGGGTCTCTGGCTCTGT